TTTTTTAATTTCCCACAACAAACCCCCTTAAAAAAAAAAAAAAAAAAAGAATTTAGGGTTTTTTTTTTCTCAGGGAAAAGGCAATTGTTACCGTTGGAGCTGCTGCTGCTAACTTCAAACGACACCAGCAGGAAGACGCAGCACAAGTTGTCCGCCAAAAACGCTGCACAGTAAGAAATTTAATATTTTCAGAAAGCTTGAAGGTAAAATACAAAGCTGACGTGTTATTGCTTTTAGGAAGCAGTTAAATGGGGACCTCTTCACATAGTAGTAGCAGAAATCAGCGAGAATGAACGTCTGAACTATTTCAGAGAGAAGAACCATGGAAGGCCACAAGCCATACCCAAGGGCAGTCAGCAATCGTCCTCTTGTATCCAAAACCTTGTGCAAAAAACATAATTTTTTTTTTTACAAAAAACATAATTTTTTTTTTAAATAAGCTGATTAATCAAAATACAAAAAAAAATTCTCAGAAAAATTAGACTGAATCATGGCACCGAAAAAGCTGTGCAATTAATTCAATTCCAATTACTTTCTAAAGATACTCATAAAAATAGAATGTTACATGAAAAAAAAATCATCTGTAGGCAAAAATTCAGCTGCGAAGAGCATCTGACTGCCTCAAAAATCTCTAAAACTCCTACCACCAATGAAGATATCATCCATAAATCATGCATACGACATTGTATTATTATATTTTTTTAGCTAAAGAAGAGCATCATTTATAATATACAATTCGCACTAGAGAATTTTTTCCAACTAGATTACCCAGTAAATCAACTAAACTAATGTATACTACATTAGTTTAGGAGCAAGATATCAGCTGAAAATTCATAAAATCCATCATATCACAAGATAATTGATGGTTCAATAATAAAGACCTGTTTGGGATGTCTACAGCTTTTTATAAAGAAAATTGTAAAGTATTTCTGGATAACATCTTTTTGGAAAGATTTTTAGTATCTTAAATATTTCTATTTTTAAAAACGTTCGACATCAACTTTCTTACAAATACGACACTTTCATAGAACTGGTTCTCAAAACTATTTCTCTCACCAAAAGAATTAAAAAAAAAAACAACATAAAATTAAAAACCAAAATGAGTTGTGGTAGCTATCTAAAAGGTAAAGCAATGAGAAGGGTATCCCAAACAAAGCTAAATGCAACACGAAAGAGGCCACATTAAGCGTGCACGCTTTTTCATTTCATTCGGGCCAATTCGACTTCAAACAGTACATTTTTTCCCTCAACCTACCCCTTGACGATCACAATTTTCTTCAGTACACCGTTGCCACCTAAAATAAACAATGAGCCATGGCCACCTACAGCAACACAATGGTTTAATCTTCTTGCCATTCACCTAGGCCGCTTGACTTCCATACAACTTAACCAACTTGGCCATAGCACTTGATTCCTTCATGCAACCCAATCAATTAACCTAATGATATAATCAAACCTCAGATCAAGATAATTAAAATGCAGGTTATCCTTCGCGAGCTTGATTTCAGCATTGTTATCCTCTAATAATAACTAGATGGAAAATTCTTCTCAAACCATAAATATAAACAACCATCTTGCAAAAGTTGGCATGGTAAGCTCGCTTATTTGAAACATAACATAATCTCTACATATAAATTGCTCTGAACAAGTAATCTGTTAATCAACTCTCACCTGAAATATCTAACACTAGGGAATTTATCGAAACCAGTTATCGTTGTTTCCATATTATTAAGAGGAGAGATAATTACAGGAGCAACATGAAAACGAAGGTGATGAGTCGGAGGAAGATGAGGATTTTATAGACAAGTTCGAATAGACCAGAGGTGGTTAGGGATGAACATTTTGTGCAAAAGAGGAGATGAGCAGAAGATAGAGGATATTGTGGCATCAGCAGCGAAATTGTCCACAGGAACGGCGAGAAAAATCGACGTCAAGAGCATCTTGTGCTGACCTTGTGCAAGCTGAGGCTGTGACACGGGCTCATGCCAATTAACAAGCAGGTCAAACAGTGTGCTTCTGTAGAGGGAGAAAGAGCTTGAGCAGATCTTACAAACTAAGAGCAATGAAACACGATTGTCACACTGATCGTGCGTTGGTGAGAGTTCGAGCACGTAAGGTTATGATTTTATTTTTTAGAAAGGTTTACATAAACTTGAATGTTATTATTAAGATTATATCTTTGATTTGGATTGATTAAAATAATTATACAGAGAAATCTTGATTTAGTTTGAATTTAAAAAATGTTAAATCTCTAAATGAATTAATGAAACTATAAATTTACAACATTGGAAATTTAATAGAAACTTTAAATAATAATAGCAAATTGTAATTTTATATGAAGCAGCAAATTAGAAGTTTAAAAAAACAAATATTTATCAACAACTATTAAAATTTAAATTGATTTGTAAAGAGTTGAAATACAATTGGAAAGAAGTATTGAGAATTTATTGATGTGAAT